GTTGACACTCCTTTCCGCAACAGAGACACACTCTGAAGAAGGCTTCTTATTTCTGGGCAGAAGCACATTCTCCTTTTTCTCTCCACCTTTGAGAAAAGAAGCCTGAAGGAAGCCTGGAGCAGGGAGGCTGCGGGTGGGGAAGCTTCCTGGCCAGGGCTTGAGGGGAGGGCCAGCGGGCACCCTGTCCTCTCTCCCAGGTGGAGGAGTATGGGCTCCCTTCCCTTCCTCTCCCCTTCCTTCTCTCTCTTCGGACTCATTCTGCCCATGAAGAAGAGCAGCAGTGGCTCCTCCAGGCTGGACAGACTCTGAGGGGCACAAAGGAACAGGAACAGCCCCCCAACTCCATCCAGAGGGAGACACATTCCCTTGTAAGTCACCCACAGGACTGCAGGCATTTCACATTTATGCCAGAGGGATTACTTTCCTCTTATGGAGAGCACAGTTTAGTTTAAAGGTAGTACCAATGAACTACTTTTAAAAGAATCAGATGAACAGCCTAAGGTCCTCCTTTCATCTGCAAAATGCATCCCAATATGCATAAACGTCATTTCAAGTCCAGCTCCTTTCGATGAAAAACATTCTTATCAGCTGGTCAGGGGACAAGGCAGTGAAGATGGGGGAGAAACCCTCAGGTGCTGAGACTGGGATGTCACTCTTCCTCTCTCCTCCTCCAAGGCAGACCTGTCACTCATGCTGAGGAAAGACAAACAAGGAAATCAGAATTAGACAGAATGCAAGGGAAAGAAAAACGTATTTTCTGAATCCAGTTTGGAAGAAGGAAGTTTTCTCCCAAAGGTTTTGAGTGTTTTTCTTACTTCTGCACGGCTTCTATGACAAACAGCCTGTATCATGACCTGAATCGTCATTTAATCCAATGTCCTCTATTATATTAACTGAATTGTTTCTGATCCTGTGAATTTGCTCTGTTTCCATGATATTTCCTATGCCATTATACATTGTTATCCACCTTACTAAACCACCTTATCCTTTAACCAGCTCATGTAGTGGCTTTCTCTCCCCCCCCCCCCCAAAAAAAATTAGTCTGCTGTTATTGTTGTGGCTAGCTATTACTGTTATGTTGTTTTACACTGTTTTAGGCTGTCTTAATTGCTAGTTGTGTTTTGCTTTGGGCTAGGGCCCCATGTAAGCCACCCTGAGTCCCTTCGGGAGATGGAGGCGGGATAGAAAAATAAAGTTCTACTTCCTCCTCCTCCTCCTCTTCTTCTTCTTGTTCTTCTTCTTCTTCTCTGTCCCACTCATTACATTTCACATATGCATAATTGTTAAGTAATGGGTATGTTTCGCTTGAAGAGAATAAGGCGGAAAGAAGGGGACATGAGAGCCATGTTTCAGTATTTGAAAGAATGCCCATTGAGGAGAGGGCAAGCTTGTTCTCTGATGCTCCAAAGAGTAGGACACAGAGCCATTGATTCAAATTTGAGGAAAGGAAATTCCACCTGAACATTACAGGAAGGACTTCTTGACCATAAGAGTCGTTCAGCAGTAGAAAGTGCTGCCTGGGAGCATGGCAGAGTCTCCTCCTTGGGAGGGTTTTAAGCATGGAGTTGGACTTTTCAGAATGGTAAAGGGTGCCCATTGAGGAGAGGGCAAGCTTGTCCTCTGATGCTCCAAAGACTAGGACATAGAGCCATTAATTTCAATTGCAGGAAATGAAATTGCACCTGAATATTATAGGAAGAATTGTTTCACGAGTCATTTATGCAATAGGAAATCCTGCCTGGGAGCATGGTGGAGTCTCCTTCTCTGGAGGGTTTTAAAGATGGGGTTGGACTAGATGACCCCTGTGGACTCCTTCAATTCTACAATTCTATTTTTCTATTGTACAGTCCCATCCCTATTCATCCCATGGTCATTCTGCCTCTAATACTAATCCTCCCCCCCCGCCCCCCCGCCATTTACCTGCTTTGAGGTTGCTAGATGGGCACACCAGTCCCTGGAAGAAACCAGAAGGAAAAATGAGTCAGCCTCTCCTTCAGAACGGAGACGACATTCCAAGGAGGGAACAGACCAGAGGTCTGGGGACTGAATCAAAGAGGGTCCATGATCTTTGTGGGGAGTTGGCCAAGCTCTGAAATGGGCTATGTGTCTTCTCTGGCAGGCTTTATGCCATACGCATTGGTTTCTGTGGCTGCAATTCCAGAGTCCAGGCACTCTTTGCCTCCGAGGAGCCAGGTGGGATCCAGGCTGTGCCTTTCAGTCTCCAGGAGTGGGCCATTGCTCTCAAATATTTTTTTGCCATGTCAGAAACTGCAAATCACTTCTGGTGTGAGAGAATTGGCCATCTGCAAGGACATTTCCCAGGGTTTTTTGATATGTTATCATCCTTGTGGGAGGCTTCTCTCGTGTCCCTGCATGAGGAGATGGAGCTGACAGAGGGAGCTCATCCGTGCTCTCACCAGAGTCGAACCTGCAACCTGTTGGGTCTTCAGTCCTGCTGACACAGGGGTTTAACCCACTGCACCACTGGGGCCTCCATTGCTCTCAATGGGACCGTGGGAGAGTCCAGAGAGGTGAGGGAGGGCTTCCCCTTCACCCACCTGATAGTCGGCACAAGGTTGGCAAGTAAGTGACTGGGGAAACTTGGGGGTCAAATCTCTTTTTGACTTTCAAACGTTTGTACTCTTGGAGGTGGGAATCGCTTAACACACTTACCTGTCCCAGAGCTGTTGGCTCCTTGGTCACTTCCTGAAAAGGAAACAAAGGACAGTTGGATCAGAAGGTGTATTTTTGTATATCTCTGTGTGTGTACAAACAAATATATGTACATATGCGTATGTATGCATGAATCTGTGTATATTAATACAACCATGCAATTCCAATGCTCAGCAGATAGAGTGTTCAACACCTTTTCTGACCCCCCCCCCCCCCTTCTAGAAGAACTTCATAATGTGAACTTGATCCAGGGAGTGAACATGGAGCTGCCTTCTGCAACGGCTCTTCTCAGTGAAATATCTCTCCTTTCTTCGCTCCTTTCTGGTAGGCCATGGCTTTGCACCCCCCCCCCCCATCCATCTGGTGTAAACATGTAATGGGGAAGCAACACTCACGTGCAGCTGTGGAGTACCCATCTTGATGTTTTTCTGCAAAGACAGAATCAGGGCGTTAAAGCTGACCTTCAGTGGTCAAGACGATCTCACTCTCTGATGAAGGAGACCTCACACCCTCCTCCTCCTCTTTTTAAAGGGTTTCTCCCATTTCTTCTGAGCAAGCCTCCCAGGCTTCCTACAGGAGACATTCGCAGAGATGGATGTGTCCCCAGGCAATGGACAAAGACTCAACCTCATGATGTGGCTGAGAAAGGGAGGTTGAGAGGCCTCCAAGTTGTTGGCTAAGCTGAACTTTCCCGTCAAGAATAGGATCCTCAAGAGGGGAAAATCTCTTCCCCAAAACCACAAATTGCCTATCCCCACAAAAAAATTCATTCAGAATTTACTCACTGAAATAGACAGCAATCCCAGCCATCACAGCGATGAGGAGGAGAACCCCCAGGAGACACCCCATGATGAGCCCCAAGTTGGAGGCTGAAGTTGAAATGGGAAAGAACAAAAGAATTAAGAGGAAATCCACAATCCAAACCCTTTATGGAGCAGGTTGTAGATAGTCAAAGAACTGGGGAGTTCATGGAGACCAAGGCTGAAACAAGTGTAGATTTGTGTACATTCAATGAACAGCCCAGCTCCCATGACCATCTTGCCAGGGTTTGCAGAAGAGGAAGTAACGATATGCAAATGGCTCCAAGAATAAATACTCTAACAAATACAGGGTAAAAGAATAAAGTTTTGTTGTTGGCTTTTGATGTTGAATTTGGAATTTAAATGTTTACAAATTTGTCATCACACCAGTCGGGATTAAAAGCAGAAAGAGTCCAGCTAGTCTTCTCACAGAGAAGGAGATGGGAATGGATGGCCCACAAGGCACTTGCAGGGAAGGAAACACTGGTGTTGAAGACTATACAACTGGGGTCCAATGAGAGATCCCATGGTGCTACGGATGATGCCTCGGAAGGGGGGTTGCCTATTTTGCCCCTCCAACACCTCTCCCTCCTTCCCTCAATTGACTCACCAGGCTCCTCCCAGGCCACGTCCACAGGGTTTGGAAGCCCATCGTG